ACTTTAAACCGCATAAACACATTTCATTACACCAAATACACAAAATAATGTTCTTTTTAGCAGCATCATATGACCCCTTTAAGTTGTTTAGTTCCATACAACCAGATGGAAATTACATTCCAGTTTCACATGCCTTCAGTACACAAAAATTGCTTGATGTCGAACGGGCATCACTGAAAGGAATGATAAATTGCAGTTTAGTGAGTCAGAATTACTCACTAAATTTTCACTCTCTCTAACTACTAACGCGAGTGAAAACTAATCATCAAAACAAGTATTTGAGCATTTCAGTATAAAATTATTGGCCGTCTGTTTGCATGTGCGTCTTTTAAAGTTTAGCAACTCAGTATTTTGTGAAATAGAAATATGCACAGGAATTTAATTTTATACAGCAACTTAAACAAAAAAGCACAAGTAAACCTGCCATATCAAACAAGACCACAGGGAGATGCCGAAAGAGCACTAACCCTGCCTCTTTGACCTAACTACATATAGAGACAGATCCATTCAGAATTACTAAACACAGCAAAATCCAAATGAAAAATAAAAACTTTCTGAATGTGTGGAAACTCAGTGATCCATTACTCCTACAAAATAAGCAATCATGTCTATATGTTCGGAGCATCTGGTGCCCACGTGTACATAAACACCACTAAATAATGTAAGCTTGACTGACTGATTGACTTCCCCTTTAAATGTACACTTAAATGTCAAATGCACTGTTGTGTTTTACTCGCAGGTCTGAGCTCCAGTGGTGCAAGTGGAGGATTCAAGAGCTTCTATTCAGGTTCACTCTCCCATTTTGTACATGCAGTCATTTGTAACTCATTTTCCAGACAAAAGCAAATGCATATTTAATTGACAGCAATGCCTAGAGCACAGGGATCAGAAACCCTGCTCCTGGAGAGCTACTGTCCTGCAGACTTCAGTTCCAACCTTGCTCCAACACACCTGCCTGTAATTATCTTGATCAGCTAGTTCATGTGTGGTTGATTGGGGTCGGAGCTGAAATCTGCAGGACGGTAGCTCTCCAGAAGCAGGGTTGGGGACCCCTGCTATAGCACTATAGCATTTGTTGTGTGTTTGCAACTGTAGACTAAAAACATTTGATGGCAACTTTTTGTTTTATGCTCATTAAGCTGCTGCTTTTAGACAGCCTGCTTTATTAATTCAGTCGTAACGCATGCAGATTCCTAAAATCCACTACCTGGAGTAAATCCAGTTACATAAAATGCAGTTACTTCTGTAAATTGCGGAAGGGTCTGTACAGAATGTGGTTAATCATTCAGTAGAGGAATGCCAACTGTGTTTAGTTGCACTGTGTACATTGTGTTTGAGTTGCAATGTAGCAGTTCACAAGATGCTTTTCATTTGTAGGAAGTACAGGAAATGGGAAGGCAAACAATGAAGGTTCGTATCATTTTTCTTTAATGCTGTTTCTGTGAATTTGTTTTGGAATCTTGAAGGGATTTTTGTTGCAGGACTCCAGAACACAACTAAAATTGCTACAAATGTGCTTTCAAAATCTACTAGGGCTGTCAGTTGATTTAAACAAATTAACTAATTGCACAGATTTCTGTAATCGTGATTAATTGAGCCTAATATTAAAATGTGTAACCTGCCAGCCTGTGCGCCATTTGGGTAGAAGGTATGTACTTTGACCTCAAAATATGCTGGTACAATTTGGGACTGTAAACTACGTAAAAAGCTTTGTTCAATTATGCACATACAGTATGCTAGTCAAGCAAGAGGCAGCAACATCTAGAGAATCAAAAGAATACGAGAAGTAAAAACTGTTTTCGTTCAAAAGGCAGAAATTTTAGTTTAAAAAAAATTAAGGGAACACTTAAATCACACATTTGATCTTGATAAATGAAATATTAATGTTAAAAATCGTTACTTGTATGTAGAGCTGAATGATAAGGCCAAAAAATTATCATGATAAAAATTTTCATATCAGTCAATATTGATAATTATCACGATAAATTTCACATTTTTGAAAGGCATATTTTTGCTCTTAAGTAAATGTTGTAGGAACCAGACCATTAGGTTTGTGACGGTGAGGAAATTTTCCCACCGGTTAATCGACGTGTGACAACACCGGTAATACCGGTATCACCGCGGGCGGGGTGTTCCCTCTTTTCCTCCGCTTTTAAATAGCTTGTAAAAGCGGCGTGCGCATTTTACTTTCACTTTGAAATAGCGGCAATTCGGGCTAAA